TTTTATTTTACTGAACGACTTATTATTTGATAATCTTTATTTCAAAGTTGACAGTTAAGCATATTCAGTGGAAAATGGGTTTACTAGAGCTATAAAAAATGAATTTTGAACATGAATGGGTCAAGTCTCCATTCTTCGTTAACGCTTAAATGATGGAAACGTAAATGCAAAATCTATTTCATTCGTCCAAAAATGGAAAAAAAAAGTGGAATCTGAACCCATTCTATTTGAAAATCGAAAATTTCTGAAAAAAAATGTACGCTTCAACAAACCCGTTCATTCAAATCACACTGACAGACATTGATAATGCATATATTTCGTAGCGTAGTGGTTAAAGCAGTTGGTCTTGGACCAATCCTGCGCTATGGGGAGGATTCGAATCATATGTGAAGCATTTTCTTTTTTTCACATTTCTTAAGAACATGAGTGAAAAATAAATTATTAATAAAATATTAAAACAATGAAATACAGAATTAAATGTGTAAAAGATGATATAAACAATATTTTTTTGAAAAATAAAACTTTTAGAATTGAGAAATGTCTTTTCTCAGAGCGGGGGATTGTCCTTGCCTTGTACGCCTCCATTCTTTGCAAGGATATGTCAATCAGACCCATCTTAAACTTAGAATTTTCAATAACTTTTCGATGAAATAAGACTTTTAATTCATTTTCGTGTGAAATGCTATTACAACATATAAGCCATCATATTATACCGAAAATATTAACTTCAAATCTATGTCTATGCACCTTTAAGTCCATAATTAATCTTCAAAAAATATCCTGCATCTATCAAAAAAAAATATTGTATGGATATTCTTTTGCGAGTCAATATTGAGAATGCGTGTGCTATATAATACAAGTGCTGTACGTGGACTGTGTAAATTATCATATCGATGTATCATAGCAGCAGATCTGTAGCGTTACGATTTTATATACTTGTCTTTGACCATAACGCTACAGATCCCGTAATGCAAAAAAAGTGCAATTTACGGCGCAATATTTTTTGCGTCCTTTTGGGTACAATTTCTCCAATTTCCAGCATCGGTCAATTAACAACCTTTCATTTCCTAATTCTAGGCACATTATTTCACTAATCTGTTTATTTTATTTATCTCCCAACCCATTTCTAGTCGTCTCTACAAGTGATGAACTCGCTTGATTAAAATGATTTTTTTTAATTGCTGAAAATTCACTTCAAGCCTGTACATGTAGAGACATTTATAAATGGTTGGAAGGTTGAAAAAATATACATACTGGCCAGTGGCCACTGAATGTGTCTAGAATTAGGGAGTGAAAGGTAGTTGATTGACCAATGCTAGAAAGTGGAGAAATTCTCCCCAAAAGTGCGCAAAAAATATTACGCAGGTCTGGACGATTTCCAAATATGGAAGTCAAGAACGATAACTGAAACTTGCTATAAATAAAAATCATGTACACATTATTATTTTTCTATCCAATCAGACAACAGCATTTTTACACAATCCAAAACATATTTTAAAAAAAGAACAAAAAGATAACACGCGCTTTTGTATTTTTCCTAAAAAAGATTTTTTTTAACAAAAAACCTTTACAAGTTAGATGAAAACTTTTGAAGAATAAGGTATTCCCCACATACACTGTATTTACCGTGAACAACTTGACATTTTTATCTCGGTAAAGAAAAAAAAATGCATGATACAATGCAATCGTTTACGGAGGAATAAATCACACCAGCAAGTTCTTATCAAGTTCAATTATAACATTTACCAGAATTTATAATACGTTTGTAAATATAATTTTGCTTAGCAGTTCGATTTTCATCGATGATGCTTAAGTTACATGTGTATAGAGCCATCTCACACAAGTGTTTATTGTATGGACTACATATAATTTTAAAATATCACGGGTTTCATGATACCTGAAACTGCATGGACGATTTTGTCATAAACTCTCAAAAATAATTAAGACTGTAATCCATTTGATAAGATGTTTATGTCAGGCTCTAAAAAACTGAAAATTTTCCGTATTCATATTAAATCTTTAACGAAAGTTAAACTCTTTGGATTGCTACCTCCTAGTGACATATTTTTGATCCCACTTAAAACGTATTCTAAGCTTTCAATTCGTTTTTGTTCATGGTAGAATTGTCATGAATATTATATTATTCCTAATTGTGCATAAAGTTTACAAAAAGTTTGTTTTAAAAAAATCTTTTTGTGCAAAAAACTTTGAAACCACGTGTTTTATTTATTTTCTTATGGGTAAGTTTCAATGCTGTTATCTGATTGGTCAGAAAGACTAGCACCTTGTTTATTATGTGTATTTATAGCAATATGCGGTTATCGCTCTTGACTTCTTTTTTTGGAAATCGTCCTGACCTGTTACGCTACAGATCTGCAGCTAATCGATATCAATGTATTACTGCATATACAAAATCAACTAATGAACTATGATAAATATAAACTATATAACATAAACTATGTAAATTTAGTGGGATTATTATCATGAGTGTTTGTTGCTTGGATTATGACACTGTCATTTTTTCATGTTTTATTTTTGCACGTATGCTATATTGTATTGTACATATTTCATGTTTGTATCTTCTCTATAATGTTGTTTCATTTTAGGAGAATAAACGATTGAATAGAATTGAAATGCAATACATGTAATATAAAAACAGGTTTCAGCTTAAATGCCAATAAGTCTACTTCAGATTGAATTAATTGATTGAAATAATAAATTTTAGTACAATTGATATTTTTTTTCAGAAATCTCTTATTCATATTTTGATAATTAGGATATGATTTCATAATTAAATTAAAATTTCCATAGAAGTATGCCATGAGGCTGAGGGCTCCGGCCTTTCACTTTCTCTGCGTAAAATATTTTAACTAGAGAAAAATTCCTTCAGATACTGATTGGCTCCTTCCTCCCCCAGTTTTCAAAATTGTTACTACGATCTTGTTCCTATCCCTTGCCATCACCTTAAGCATATATGGGTTTTACTCAAATAAAAATCACTTTTTAATTCCAATTTTGTTTTTCGCAGATTATCCTAAAATATAATAAATGTTACAGTAGTTATGTTAAAAATTACTTTTTTTATTCCAATGTTTCCCCGAGCACACCAAAATACCATTTTTTATGCAGTATTATCAGTGTATTGTAGAGCTCTCTGTTTCATATGCTAAGTAGTATTTGTATTATTAAAATCAAACATCCGACTGATGAAAAATATGGTAACCAATGCAACATTTGAAACTTTTGTACGCTCGATCAAACAAATTGACACGCTGTTATTTGAATGCCTTGATTTATACGGTCTCATCCGAAGGACCGCCCCATTTAGTCGCCTTTTACGACAAGCAAGGGGGTACTGAAGACCTATTCTAACCCGGATCCCCACGGGATTCTCAAATTGATGTATAATATCATGACATATGTTGCTACAGCATTTTACACGGAAATATATATTTTAAAAAAATTGATCCGAAAACTATTGAAATTAGGAATTTTGTGACCTATGGATTGACACATTCTTTCACTTTCACAAAGTACTTTTTTCTTAATACTTTAGGTTTTCCCATCCTTACAATTTTAATGGTTCAAAGTACAAAAACTGTGTATATTTTCATTGAATATAGTTTAAATTCAACAATTATTGCAAAAAACGTACAGGTTGCCTTAGAAGTTGAATAAAGAAAATGCCCGAATGAAGATACCTGAGAAGGAGTTATTGCACTTGTCAATATTTTATGAAGATTAAAATATGGTTAAATAAAGAAATTATACGTATCTTAAATTCTTTTATTTAACAACATTTATCATCACACCTATTGATAAGCATTCTTCCAAAAGAAATTGTTCTATCAGTTTTTATATTAAATTAACAAAAGTTTTTGCAAAATCAATGACATCACAGGAGGATGGAATTACCTTAAGAGAAGTAGAAATTTTGTTGTGTATTAATGACATTATGACAAATATTAAAATTATTTTCCAGAAAATTCATACCAGAAATGTGAGAAGGATCTTTTATTGATTCGAGTGATTAAATAAACGATTATTTATTTACGTATAGATACATCTGGGCCAATGACAATGTGCATTACAGTTCAAGTCAGTAATAGGTTTCTTTTTACCCCATTTTGTCTTCATGGTACATCTTTCACAAATCCTCGCAATGAATGGAAAAAGATTAATAAATGAGTCTTATCTGATTTGCATATAGATAAGAATAGTAAAACGCCCACATTTTAAAATTTAGTATACCCATTTTTGTAATATTTTGGCTATATAGTTTTGTTCCTCTTCTTTTGTCTTTCAATTAATTCAATTTATATGTATTCTAATTTCATTTTTAATTCTCATTCATGATATCTGTTTCCTCGACATTTTAGCTCAGATAAATGACCTACAATGTAGAGATGTACTACTCTACTCAATTTATCATTTGAAGTTAAAAAAAAACCCCGTAAAATTTGACTCTTAAATCTGAGGAAGTTTCCCGGGAAGCTGAGGAATGTCTAGCTGTGTAACATTTGCATCCCCACGATGAGGAGCTATTATAAATCAGATACCTCTACTCCTCTGAGGTATTCCGTTCTTTATATTCGATTTAGAGAGAGCTCCTCGATCGAAGAAATTGTATCCGTTTTCTGTTGCTTAAAAGCGTGTTGACGACTGACAAACGCATCAACATTTAGGAAAATCATCACTTTATGGGACAGAACCATGATAACGAAATAAATGAATGCTTTAGAGTCCAGAAATAGGCGCTGAAGTGGGCGGGGTATTTTTTCGAAGATGTCAGCTTGCGTCCCTTATAGAGTTTTTGTACTAGTAGTATATAGGAGTGGTACGTCTTTTTTAAAAGTGGTTTTTCCTGACTGAGAGTGTCAAAATCTTTCATTTAACAACTTTTATTTATTTATTTTACACAATCCGGAAGACAAGCCCCTATGTTTAGTATTACAAAAGTCATCTTTTTTTCTCTTTTTACCGAGTGCTCAATATATTTCTCCTACAGACCAGTTGGATTTAACTGCTATATTTACGTAGGAAGCAATTTCTTACTACAAAATTGAGAACTTCAAACCGAAAGTTAATTTTGTGATGATAGAAACTATGGAACAAGACTGTTATGGAAACAGAGTGGTAATAGTCTTTGTTTTATTTATAATGAGTATAATAAAAATAAACATATTAGGGTAGCATCTGAAAATATTTATCTCTCAACATCATACCTGGTATTTGAAATAGGGGCTTGTCTTCCGGATTGTGTAAAATAAATAAATTATTTTTTAAAAAATTAATCTAATTTATATACGCTTAAAAGTTAAAAAAGACGTACCACACCTACATACATAAAGTCTTAGAGTTTATTTATATAGGAGTGGTACGTCTTTTTTAAACGTGGTTTTTCTTGACTGAAAGTGTCAGAATCTTTAATTTAACAACTTTTAAGTGTATATAAATTAGATTAATTTTTTTAAAATAATTTACTACAGTATTTATTTTATACAATCCGAAAGACAAGCCTCTCTGGTATTAAATGGATGCGTAGTATTTTTATAACTGTTACCCTAAGCAATATTTTCAATACGGAAGTTAATTTTGTAATATTCTAATTATTCAACAGGCTGACATGAAACAGATAGGTAAAAGTGTTTGCTTTATTCACTACGAGTAATTTAAACATTTATATATTCTCTCGAGACTCGTTACTAGGCTATGCCGTTATTGCGGGCTGATTAAACATGTACAGACACGCAAAGAGAATCTGACTTTAGTAATAGATAGTATGCGCGGATCAAATATATTATCATTTAGTTTAATTATATCATTTTTTACACCAAAGTCTTTAGTAAGATGAATTAAAGAATCTAAAGGTTCAAAGCAAATGTTAGCATTGGAAAGTCAGGTAATTCGATAATGGATCCATATGCGCGCCCGAATTAAAAACAAAACAAACGAAAGTCTTCATTGAATGATTAAAGTTGTATGTAAAGAGTCAATTATATTCCTTGTTTTTAAATGGAATTTAAAGCTAAAGTTACATATACCGCAACTTAAACCTAGAATTATTGAGTATTTCAACTGTTTTTAGGTTAAATTGGTAGGAACTTTGTAACACTGCCAAAGATGGCAACCATTAAAACTAAAGCACAAGACGTTATCCTGTGTCACTTCTGTGACAGGAGACCCGCCCTTCTTCACTGTAATCCCTGTCAGATCAACTTATGTCAAGAATGCGTCGGAAAACACTATATGACGTCAGCGTCCTCTTATCACGAGATTGTCAAATGCCGAGAGAGAAAATACCACCTTTCATTTTCAAATTGCAAAGCCCATAGTGGCGAAAAGTGTACTGTTCAGTGCCAGAATTGTGATGTAGAAGTTTGCCTTAAATGTCTCAGTGGGAACCATAACGGTCATATAATTATTGAAATTTGGGACATTGTTGAAGAAAAGAAAAAGCATGTGGAGAAAGACACGGTTCGTCTAAAAGACGACATCATTCCAAAATTCGAAAAAGCAGATACGGAAATAGAATCCAAATTAGCTGCTATAAATGCTAAATGTGACGAATTAGAACAAACAGTCACAGAGCATGGACAAAAATGGCAGCGATTCATTGAAGAAATCGTGGCGAAAAACAAGAATGATATTATAGAAATGAGAGGAAATGGCATTAAGAAATCAAAAGAATACCAGAAGAAAATCAAAAATGCACTTGAAAGTCTAAATGAAATTGCTCTACAGAACGAAAAGATATTTCAGTCCATGGACGTTAGTGACATAACAAAACAAGAAAGCAATATTCAGAAGTATCTAAAGATTCCCTTTAAAATAGATCTGGAACTACCGGCTTTCGTTTTAATGGACATAGATAAGGGTAAACTTAACCAAGATTTTGGAAAATTAATAGAACCCAGGATACACACAGAAACGATCTACAGATCAGATGTATCCAATGAGCTCCTAGACAAAGCTGTAGAAATCGCATCCTTCCACACTGGAATAACAGAGTTGATGAGGATAGCATGTCTAAATACAGAGGAGGTGTGGGTAACGGGGAAAAATAAAACTATCACTCGTATCAACATACAAGGTTCTGTACAGGAAATTGTTACCGCTACTTGTCAGAATTTTCCTAGCGATATTTCATTTTCAAAAGAAGGGCATCTGCTGTACGCTGATAGAGTAAATCAAGTAATTAATGATGTCCACCAGACAACAGCACAAATCACAACACCACGGGGATGGATACCAGTAGGACTGTGTTGTACACAATCAGGAAACTTACTGGTCAGTATGCGTACATCTAATAATGAACATTATAAAATTGTCCGTTATGAAGGTCAAACAATAAAGCAGGAGATAGAGAAGGATGACCAAAGTACACCGCTATATAAAGGAGGAGAAAGTATGCTGTTTGTGACAGAAAACAACAACGGGGATATCTGTGCTTCTGATTGCAATGCTAAGGATGTCGTTGTGGTGAATAAGGCAGGAAAACTAAGATTCCGATATAAAGGATATCAAACGATGAAGGATCAGTTTATTCCCTTCACTATTGTGACAGACTCCGCGGGTCGTATAATATTAGATGACGACGGAAATTCCTGTACCCACATCATTGATCCGGACGGACAATTTCTCCGTAGTCTGGATTTCTCTGGAGCTCTGAGTCTGGACACACTGGGAAGACTGTGGGTGGGGGAGTATGAGAGTGGAATTGTGAAGATCATAAAATATACAGAATAAAGGGGTTGATTTCATTAATACAATCTGCGAGGAAATGTTATAACGATAATGGAAATGTTTTAGTGTGATGTTTCATTAATTGTCATAATATAGACAAAATGTGATGAATTGGACCTTAAATTAAATTACTAAAGATGTAACAACATGGAGAGATTTTAATATTCTGGGAGTAAGTCAACGTTTTAGATATTGATTTGAAAATCACGAAAACTAGACAATTTGAAAAGTATGTCTATTTTTAAAAAAAATCTAATTACGATTGACTTTTTCATATTGTGGTGAAATGATGTGATTAAAACAGATAAAGCTTGTCAACTAAATGTCCAGCACATTAGCATTTGAATATGTCCGAAGTACATGTAAAACATAAAGAGAGAACCTGAAGGCTACAGAAGCAAAGAAAGCTATACATGTATTATAAATTGAACGCTGCCTTAATTATTATGTCTTTTCAGCATATTAAAATGTTTATGTATTCAAAGGGGAGCGTGAAGAGTTAGCGCAACTTAAAGCGTTGTGTATTTACATACTTTTCTGATGACTTCTACTATATTTTTGTCGATCAACGATTATAATTGCATTATCCTTTTTTTTTTACTTCAATCACATCACTGTGGAAATATTCTTACTCAGCTCATGGTAGTTCGTGAGAGCATTATTTGCAAAGAATCTTAAGGAAAAATATTTGGAATGACTATCTATCATGAGTGGAACAAAACAGCAATTAAACACTGACCATCATTTGAAGTATCGGTACATTATAGAATCCATTCTAGAATCTGGCTATCCATTGGGAGTAGAACAAAATTTATATGTTTGAGGTCTAGTAATTTAAGCAAACTTAAATTTTGCAATTTCTACCTTGTGATGAGTGATAGTGTCCTTGAGTATGACACAAGGTTAGTGAAAATTTTACATACTCAACCTTGAATTATTTAATTTTCCCTACTTATACTACTTTTAACTGTTCCAATTTGTAAATTATAGATTTGAATTAGAAATTGAACAAAATCTTCAACAATCCAAATAATACCTGCAAAACAACTGTTCCTCTTAGAACTGTAGAACCAACTGTGTATACATTAATTTCATGAATTATTTCCTTTTAATGGAGGAACATACCATGCGGTTATTCCAGACAGTATGAATAAGTTTTACAAGGTGAAGGTTAATATTATTATGATCTTAAGCAAATCGTGAATATAATGTGAACTTCCCAGATTATACTGAATTTTGTAAATAGCATCTAATATCCCTAAAATAAGATTGCATGGAAAGTCGCCTTAATGTTAAACTAGCAAACTTAAAGGTGTTTAAAGTCTTAAAATCTTATTACTAAAGGCATAGTACAGAGGTAATTAATTGAAGGGGTATAATTAGCCTATACCAAAGCCTATTTAGGCAAACGATAAAATATTTTCTTGCAAGATACATAACCTATGGTTTTATTTGTAAGAATACTTTGTTTAAGGACAAATTCCTTCCCTATAGATTATGTTTATTATTAAAGACACATTATTTAATTTGTTGCATTAAAGGAACATTAATCCTGATTTTGTCATGTTCAAATTTGTCACATCTTTAATCTTGATTCCAAACAAGATTACTCATTCCTTTGACTGGATATAGTCCTAGCATATAGAGTGGATTGTTTACCTGTTGAAGGACATATCCCTCCCATAAGTATTTAAAACTGAAGAAGTGAGAATCCTATCTTTAATTTATTAATAGAAAGGTCAGTTGTAAAAGGGGATCATTTGTGATGTGGATAATTGGAAACTGTAATACAATTTGCTTGCTGACTCACCTGCAAATGTTTTATAAGAAACCAAGTTTCAAGATCTAGCTAGTATGGATGCTTTCTCAACCAACGTTAGCGGATATCCTGGTCATTCAGCTGATCAAGGGCACATCCATGGCAGCACTGCTGCAGTTTTGCTGGCACATACATGTATCTGCATCTTATATGAGGTTATTGCATGGTAAAGTCAAAAAGTGTCAACCAAGTTTTGAACTTTTAAATATAGATATAATATATAAAATTCACGGCATTAGGCACAGCTTCATTTGGTTCCCTAGGCTATGGAGATTATCTCAGTTCCCTCTTAACTGGAATTAGTGGAATGTTATGATGAGGGTTATAAGGATTCTTTCCTGAGGATCTGTGTTCTCACCGATTGTTCGGGATGTATCTACAATGTACCTTAAAGTTAATTTTTTATCATTACTCATCCAAGTACAAAGTGCTCACAAGGGAGGATACAACCTTAAAACTGGGATGAAAAATTAGGTCTACATGAGCAAACAATGCAACAACAAAAGAAAGGAAACTTTCTTTAGAATGAATGTACTATTAATAACATTAATATTAGCTTCAATAGGAAAAACCATGCCAAAAGTTAGATATGCTTTATAAGACACAATTTGAATGTTATTACGAGCAATTAACAATCAACACTATAAGTAACTTTGACCCAACCAACAGATGTGCTTCATAAGACACCATTTGATCAAGTTGATTGTCATTATAAGCGAATAAAAACAATATGGGTAATTCTGACACAACCATAAACAGATATGATATGCTACATAAGATGCCAATTGACTGTTATCAGAGGCAGTAAATAATCAACAACATAGGTAACTCCGACCCAACAATGAATAGATATGCTTCATAAGACGTCAATTGATTGTCATTATGAGCAGACAACAATAGACACTCTGACCCATCAATAAACAATATAGGAAACTCTGACCCAACAATAAATAACCAATATGGGTAACTCCCAGCCAACAATAGACAATATGGGTAACTGTGATCTAACAATAAACAATATGGGTTACCCGACTCTTCGATAACAATATGAGTAACTCTGACCCAACAATAAATAAACAACATGGGTAATTCCGACCGAACCAGAAACAGTATGGATAAATCTGACGCAACAATAGACAATAAAGGTAACTCTGACCCATCAATAGACAATATGGACAAGTCCGACCCAAACAATAAACAATATAAGTAACTCCGACCCAACAATAAACCGAAAAGCTTCATACGACGCCAATTGATTGTCAGTATGAGCATCCAACAATAAAACAATATGGGTAACTCCGACCCAAACAATAAACAATATAAGTAACTGAGACCCAACAATTAACAATGTGTGTAACATCGACCCAACAATAAACCGAAAAGCTTCATACGACGCCAATTGATTGTCAGTATGAGCATCCAACAAAAAAAAAACAAAAAAAAAAAACAATATGGGTATACTGACCCAGAAGGTACAAATCTACTGTGTACCAAAACAATATGGGTATACTGACCCAAAAGGTACAAATCTACTGTGTACCAAAACCAAACAAATTTGGGTATACTGACCCAAAAGGTACAAATCTACTGTGTACCAAAACCAAACAAATTTGGGTATACTGACCCAAAAGGTACAAATCTACTGTGTACCAAAACCAAACAAATTTGGGTATACTGACCCAGAAGGTACAAATCTACTGTGTACCAAAACCAAACAAATTTGGGTATACTGACCCAAAAGGTACAAATCTACTGTGTACCAAAACCAAACAAATTTGGGTATACTGACCCAAAAGGTACAAATCTACTGTGTACCAAAACCAAACAAATTTGGGTATACTGACCCAGAAGGTACAAATCTACTGTGTACCAAAACCAAACAAATTTGGTTATACTGACCCAAAAGGTACAAATCTACTGTGTACCAAAACCAAACAAATTTGGGTATACTGACCCAAAAGGTACAAATCTACTGTGTACCAAAACCAAACAAATTTGGGTATACTGACCCAGAAGGTACAAATCTACTGTGTACCAAAACCAAACAAATTTGGGTATACTGACCCAAAAGGTACAAATCTACTGTGTACCAAAACCAAACAAATTTGGGTATACTGACCCAAAAGGTACAAATCTACTGTGTACCAAAACCAAATAAATTTGGGTATACTGACCCAGAAGGTACAAATCTACTGTGTACCAAAACCAAACAAATTTGGGTATACTGACCCAAAAGGTACAAATCTACTGTGTACCAAAACCAAACAAATTTGGGTATACTGACCCAAAAGGTACAAATCTACTGTGTACCAAAACCAAACAAATTTGGGTATACTGACCCAAAGGGTACAAATCTACTGTGTACCAAAACCAAACAAATTTGGGTATACTGACCCAGAAGGTACAAATCTACTGTGTACCAAAACCAAACAAATTTGGGTATACTGACCCAAAAGGTACATTCTACTGTGTACCAAAACAATGTGGGTATACTAACCCACAAGTACAAATATTGTGCACCAAAACAATATGGGTATACTGACCCAAAAGGTACAAATCTACTGTGTACCAGACAATAAACAACAAAGGTAACTATGATCCAATAAGTAAATATCTACTGTGTACCAAACCATATGGGTAACTCTGACCCGATAAGTACCTATCTACTGTGTACCAAACCAATAAACAATTAATATGCCAATGAATAACTTTGACTCAATAGGTAAAACCTTGTACCAAAACAATAAACAACTTAAGCAACACTGATCAAATAGCTACATATCAACTTTTATCAAAACCATAAACTTGAAAGAGTAATACTGATCCCATTAGTACATAATTATAAACTTTGTACCATGTACTAAAATAATCAACCACTTGAGTAACATCGATTCAATTTGTAAGTATCACATTGTATCAACAGTTTAAACCATTAACAACACCAACCCAATAAGTACCTAAATTATCCACTATGTACCGAAATGATAAACATCTTGAGTAATCATGTAACTATTGTCTACACCAACCAATTTAGTACATATATTTTGACTACATATTACATGTACAATATTCATTCAATATTTATCAATATACAAAACATGAAATGTTACCTATAAACTTTGTACCAAGACTGATCAAACAATAACGGGCAATTCAAGAAATACCACAGTATAGTAACTATTTGAACTATGTATATAAAGCTTAGTCCACAACCCTTAAACTCCCA